AATGTCATTTTCAAATTTTCTTCTGGCAGTACTAATCATATCTTTAAGCATATTATTATGAGTGGTATATAAGATAATTATTTTGTTTTTAATATATTTATCCCATAGGTTTCCGTTTTTTGTCGATTTCTTTGAAAATTCTTTCAGGTTTCTTATGGTTAACTCTAACCGATTTAATTGGTATAAAACTGTTGATGGCACTAGTTAATATATTATTCAATTCTTGATAGGTAGGTAACTGTTCCAATACTATGATATTTTTCTTCTATAGAACTGTTGATATTTTCGTAATTTGCAGTCCAAACATTTTTTTTCTTAATAATTTCAGTTGGTTGTGGCTCAATTTCAATATGAGTTTTAGCGGTTAAGATAATATGATCGTTTTGGCTAATAGGCATATGTTTTTCAATGCCTTGTTGATCAAAACTAAATCCAATAACGACACCTGACTGTTCCTGTATCTAGTCGGAAATGGTGCAATTTGATGTGCATTCATCTCTTTACATATCTAGAAAATCCTCAGTTTTTTTGTCCGACCCATTTATTGAAATACTAGGCCAATTTATGAGAGGAAAGTTGTAGTTTCCAAATATAAATGTAGGGTTCTCAGTAGAAAATGCACTCTTGACTGCATTAATCATTTGTAAATTGCAAGTTTCGGCGGTATATCCAGGTCTATGAAGCAATGGTCATCTTAATTGTGACCCTTCTGGCATATTTATAAAGCAAAAAATTATTTTCGAATTTAGAGTCTAGTGAAGAAAAACAAGCAAGAAATTTTTCATTACAATGAAGCTTGGAGACGTTCGATGTTATTGAATTTTATCATCTACGAGTTTTTTAGTATTGCTCATTTTGTTTTCAAAACGATTTCGTTTGCCTGCTTGTTTGACATAATTATTAAAAATCTTGTTGGAATTGTTTACCATAAGATATTAGTCTAGAAGGACACTATAAAAATACTTAACAAATAAATGACTAGAGAAGTCAGGCAGAAGAGAAACATGGAAAATGATAAAAAATAATTATGTCAGAAGAACTATTTGAGGATAAAAAAAAAATCAAATTCTTGTAAGAAGAAACGAGATCCGGAGCAATTAGCAATGAAGTACGATAATGGAATATACAGACAGGGTCATAGGCTACTAGACACATAGGCTTCAATAAGATCAGTTGACATACTGATTTCACTGCATACATACATACTAATAAAATTCGTGCGTCTTCGACACCTCGACTATACTTGGACGGGTACAAGCTAATTCGTCTTATTACTCCATATGTGTCTAGTAGGTTGGTCCGATCTGTAGATAATAAACATAACTGATATCGTAAAAATACCCGAAAAAATAGCATGAAGACATGAAACATTTTCAAGTTTCTGAAAGAAGTGACGATTATGAATATGGGTTCAGAGAATATTCTGGAAGAAGCAGAATACAGCAGCAAGGCAAGCAATAAATGTCGATTGAATTGACAGAAGAAAGTTTTGAAAGTCTGTTCACACGAAGGAATACTAGATCGATAGAATATAACAGGAAATTTGCTGATATTCGAAAAAGAGGACATTGCAACTATATCGCAACTAAATGAACTTTTTACGAGAATTCTTGATTCTTACCAAACGATATAACTCGGAAATTTGATTAATAATAGGTATTCGGTATTCACTAACCTCTACAACCTATTTGCTAACGTAATTTAATTATAATTAATTCAAACAAGCTTACCTAATTAATAACAAAAACAATGAAGAGATGTTTTAGACAGAACAAAATAATATCACCAAAATTGTTCAATTAATCATAGGAAGGGCTCTTCAAAAAACAAAAATATAGCAATAAGGCATTCAAAATGGCGAAAGTCCAAATTTGCGCGAATAACAAGGATCACTTTCTACTCTTGAACATTGATGACTGAGCTGAAAATAGAACCGCGATGTCGATTTTTTCGAAAACAACAGCGACATAACAATTTTATGGGTTTACCGCATTTAATAAGCGTTTCAGGAATGATTCCGTTTTCACAAACAACTTCCATAAAGTTTCTCAAGATCTTGAAACCAATAAAAAAATCCATACAAGAAGGGAAATCACACTTTAATTATAATATATTTTATTTTATAGGTAAATTAATGCCTAAAAAAAAAACAAGGGGCTCAAACGAAAGGCATCGTGTTTTTCACGTATTAGCATAACATTTTTTATTTTCAAGATAATTTTGTTTTGATTAAGGCTTAATCACATAAACTTTTAAATTGATGATCGAAAATAATGTGAGTCAAGACAATCAAGTCTTCAACCCAACCGCTCTTGAAAGTTGTGATGTTCAAAAAACATGCGTTTTCTCTGCGCCACCCTGTACCTGGAGTAATATAAATTTGGCTAGTAGTGTTCACAGCTATCAGACCACATATCCACTCTACCACGTAAAACCCCCCTCCAGCACAGCCATCATACCACTACCCACCTCCACTGTAAACCCCCTTCCGTGAAGCTCCTAAGTACTTTTTTGACTCGAGCGCCCCCAGCCATCAATACCCACCTCTTCTACGTAAATGGTTCGCCAGATTCACAAATTTTGGGGTTACCCCGGGTAAAATTCCCAAAATTTCAGATTAAAGGCGCCGATTTTTCCACGGTATCGAAAAAGTTCCCACACTCAATTGCCTTCAGCTATCAAACCAATACACACCTTTACTACGTTAAAAAGCTTCTACTCTGAAGAGGTACCATATCCCTTCACTTTCTTGAAAATTAAAGAATACCTTAACAATTCCTGCATTTATATTCGTGAATTTTGGAGTTGGCCTGGCTCAAATACCCAAAACTTTAGTTTTGCGGTTCCCAATATTTTTGAGTGGAAGCAAGCGGTGAAAAACCTTGCCAATTTATTGATACATCTTCGAAAAATATGGTTTGATTTTTCATTGAAACACAATAAAACAATAAATCAAGTTATCATTTTATTAAAAAAATTATACGCATTGGAATTTTGAAAATCTTTTATCTTTCCTGTTGCCTAAATTTGTTTTGCTCATTTGTTCATTTTTGGCGGGGGACAACGGATTATGGGTTGGATTCAACATCTGCTTCTGGGCTATTGCTATCTACCAGAAAGTCTTTATCTCAAGAATCGTCGATGGTTTTTTATTTGAATATATTTATATGTTTAATATGTTTGATATGCTCAGCTAATTTAGTTAATCTGATGACACAGCATTGTTTGAACTTTTGGATGCATGGGAAAAGTTACCAATGAGTTACAAAAACAACAAACTTCATTAAAATCCGTGATAAGCCAGCATTTTTTAAAATCCACTCAAGAATATTGTGCTTTTTGATCTTCGAAAAATATGTTTTGATTTTTCATAAAAACCCAATGAAACAATAAATTATTATTTTATTAAAAAATTATACTTATAAACTACAATTTTGCAAATCTCTCTCTTTCTTCTTGTCTAAATTTCTTTTTCGCTTTTTTGTTTTATTTCGGCGGGGGATAACGGATAATTTTGTTTGCTAATACATATATATGTTTGTGGATTATAGCTCAACATTGGAGAGTTCTCATCGCAAAAGTAGTCTATGGTAGAGTCTTAATTCTGTTTAAAAATATTTATATTTATAGTTGTATTATGTCTGTTATGGTTCACTAATTTACTTACTTGATTTGATGACACCTTATCAAGCTGACTACCCCCGTCGGCAGAAGGGCTGCTCCGTGTAGCCTGACTTATGGTTCCCTGTGGTTTCTATAAATTATCAGTTAAATGTTTAAAGAACTGGAGTAAAACACACAGTCTATCTTTTTTTTACTCCAGTTCTTTAACTATTCTCTTCCCTGTGAGACATGGACTACTATTTCAAAAGTTAAATGTTTGTTAACACACAATTTCATTATTTTACTTTTACGCCCCCCCGCTTTCTCCTCCAGGTGCCTTTTCCAATCGGGTACCTTACCCAATGATTGTCGCCGATTAACTGATCTTCTTCTCTCTAGGTTTAAGGGATACTTAATAATAATAATAAAAATAATAGTTTATTTCTAAAAAATTACAATAATTTATATACCTAGTAGATACACTACACCTTATTGTTTCGAAATAAACAGCTAAGCCACAAGCTCCTGGACTATAAGACTGATCTGTGAAGACAATTTTGTTGCAAGGTTTCTTTTATAACGCAATTGAGTAAATTTTAGTTTTAGTATTTGCGCAACATTCAAAATACATTCGATTATCGTCAAGAAATTTTTGGAAATATCGAATTACTTTTCAGGAGAATGTTGCTTCTCAATAGAATGGATTTTGTCTCTACCATTTTTTTTTTTTGAATTGAACTAGGATGACAAAAACGAGCGGTACTTCCCAAGTCACACTTTTAGTCTCCGGGTGTCCGTTCTTTTAGATTTTTACCTACTTGTGAGAATAAAAACTCCCTATCACTCTCACCGCGAATGCTGAGTCATCAGTCTGTTGAAAAATTAAAAAATATATAGGTAATTTATTTTTTCACTTAAAACAGAAATGTACAGATAATCTAACAATATAAGTACTTAATTATTAGGTGTATCCATCCACATAAAGTGAAAACATATGGAGTAAATTGTAGCTTTTATACATAAAGGGTGATTCACTATAAAATATTTAGTACGTATTATTATATGCACTACAATATTGAATAAATATTTTCAATCAATTATAGTTGTTTTATTTCAATTTTGTTCGCTGTAGGTACTACTACTACTTAGGTGAAAATGAAAAGTAGATATACAGGGTGGCACAAAAAATATAGCCCGTTATATTTATAAAGCAAGTCTAACATGACATGTCTGCATATTGTGCACTGCAGTCGCTGAATTTTCAATTTTTTTTTTCAGCTCGTCAAAAACCATCAAAACTCTTGCCAATTTCATTTACGTCCTTTTCTACTGTTTATATTTCAATATACGCTTATCCAATACAACAATGAGCTAAATTCGATTTTTCTTCTTTACAGCGATCCTTTTGCAAGAGAGCGACATGTTCAGCGACGCACTTACAGCAGCGGCGCCGAAAAAAGACCCCAAAAAACGAAAGCGCAGGCTCAGCTCCACAAAAGAAGCTACCGAGTCTACCGCAGGTGACGCTCCTACACCCACGTCTCCTTCGACACCTTCAAGCCCGACAACTTTGAAGAACATCGCCCCAATCAATTTCTACCAAGATACGTTATCTGAACAATCGGAGAAAAGCGAAACGGAAAAGGAGGAAGAGGCCGATGCTGATGAAGAAAATAACGACGAAAATATTCCTAAGTCGCCTACTAAGGATGAGGATGATGATGATGATGAAGAAACACGATCAGATAGCCCAACTGCTGATATAAAAATAAAAATTGAAAATGAAAATATGCCTTCTCCAGCCAAGCAAATAAAACTCGAAATTAAATCAGCTGGAGAACTTAAGGGTATACTCGTTCACGAAAAGAAACAGTCTGTAAAGAGATCTATTCAATGGAAACCAGAAAAAGACTTAGTGGAAACAAGATATTTCGAACTAGATGAAACCGAAAGAATAAATGTAACTAAAACTTTCACGGACATGGCTAAAATGGACATTGATGGCGAAAGGGAAGCCATGATCAACTCAAGAATTTCAAGCGACGATAAAATGGCACCCGCAATAAAGTGGTACGCGCCTTTCCTCTGCGACGAACTCAAATCCCTTATCGTTCCTGGAACAAAAAGCTTGGAAAAAGATATTCAATTTGCCCGCGAAAAACAGGTTCCAGCTGCTGAGTATTTCAACAAACGCATGATTCCCGACAATCCTAAAGAACCCGAAATAGAAGTGCATCAAAAAATCGATCCTTTCTGTATACCGCTCGAAGACCCTGAGGGACACGTCATCGATTTGTCAAACAAGCCATGGCCCGAATCGAAAGGCTTCGATCCGAAAATGGAAATACAACAACAAATGCCCCCCATGTTTCCAGGCAATAATATGCCATTCAATCCCAATTTTAATAATATGCCCCCTGCCGGAGTACAATTTGTTGGAGTTCCGCAAAGGTTCCCAGGGCCTGGTCCTATGATGGGACCAGCCAATTTCCAGCCACCCCACATGATGCACAACAATATGATGGTACCACAGATGAACCAACCGGATATGATGAATGGCGGTCAAATGAATCCGGCTATGTTCGCTCCTGGACCTGATGGTTTCATGGGCGTACCAAACGAGCAACCATATCCCATGCCACAGTTCAATGGAGGACCTCAAGGGCCGATGTATGTTCCAAATAACTTCAGGGGTGCCAACAATGGTGGTCGAGGTGGTGGTTTTCGGAGAGGTGGTGGCGGTGGAAATGGAGGTGGCGGCTGGGTACAGGTTAACGGTCCGCGGCCTTGGAAAAGAGGTTCGGGGCCCCACAGAGGTAGTAATAGGCCGTGCAAAAATATCCAAAATCATGGCTATTGTAGGAACTTAGACTCTTGTCCTTTCAGACACTAGCAATAGGCAAACAGCCTTGTGCGAATTTCTTCAAATTGTGATATTAGCCAGTAAAAAACTAATTATTTTGCCTCAAGTTTTATTGGGGTTGAACTTAGATAATCGTCGAGAAGATGGACATTCAAAGTCTTTATATGTAGACAAAGTAAGGACAAATTTTAAACTTTTTCTGTAGATTGGGCTTCAAATAAGTTGGGCGATTGAATGATGTACATAATTATTTATAGACCTCAGTGATATTAATTTATATTTCTCTTTATTGTAAATTTGTATTCCTGCCTGGATATGGATGTGTTTTTTATTATCAATTGATTATTACAAAAAATTTTGTTGACTTTTTGAACCGTTGACAATATTGTATATATAACTTCTTAAGAGTTTCTAAGGTTCATTTTCTTGAACCGTTTTATAAGTTGTTTTAATAAAAAAACTACATTGAGATAACTTTGTTTTTTATTTGGGAGATATTCCAATTGCAAATTCCGTAAAAGGAAATTTTATGACTTCAATAATATAAACTGAAAGGCAGATGAAGTGGGACATCCAAAAAATTGCTTAATTTCGACTAGCTATAACTTCGACATTTCTTTGCCGATATCGGATTTTCAGCCATTGGTGCAAAGCGCCATACAGGACGTGTAAGAGAGCAAAAATTTCCATTTTTTGGCAAAGAATTTGGAAAAAGTGGGGTCTTATAGACGCCAACCTTGTCCAGCTCCAAACGTGCTGGATAGGATTCATCTAAGAGGCAGTTCAGTACGATTAAGTCGATTAAGAGGTTGCCCTTGCATCCCTACCAATTTACTTTTTATTGTTCGATGAGGAGGCTAAGCATTATCGTTCACAAGAACAAAATCCTCGCCATGTTTTCGCGGGAAACTTTCGGAATCGGACAGATCGCTCAAGAAGACTAGCAATTGGGAAAAAAAAATTATGATATCAATGAAAATAAAGCATAGGACAAACATGTCATTAGCGCCTATATGCGTGTATCCTGTAAATAGTCCTTAAACGCTTTGTTTGTCCCCCCATCGAAAGTGAGGTTATGTGTGCAAAAAGATTAATGGCCATTTGCACTTAAGGGATATTTAATCTAAGTGGAGTTTTGAATGTGAATTTTGTTTCTTCAAGAGTCACATTCAAATCTTTACTTGGAATAAATATCCCTTAAGTTAAGTTATAGCGGTGCAAATGGCCATAACATACCACAAATAAGGAAAAAGAAACCTACAGAAACTTTCTCTCTGGAAAAAAAAAACTTTCTCTCTGGTAAGGAAAAGTTTTGTTGCGTCGCAAGAAGAGAGGTTAGATAAATTGAATTCCTATGAATAGGTAGGTAACCAAGCAAGGTTTTTGAAAGTAATGGGTTGCCTTGCCTGGTAATGGGTAGAGGTGGGTCAACTTGCGATTCTACTGGAACTGTGACAAGGCGCGATTACATACATCGATTAAAGGCGATTAACCAGTCGGTCATAGTTGACAGATAACCAATGAAGCAAACGTCATTTGTCAACCAATCGGTAATAAATGACGTTAAATGCATTGTTCATCTGTCAATATAACCGAATGGTTAATCGCCTTTAATCGACTATAATCGCAGTCCGTTCAGTTCGCAGTCACGGCCGAGAAAGATATTCCAGTCTACCCCTCTGCAGTATCAGTTTCTGTTTTGCGTCACCGCGATGCGATTTATAATAAATATTCCATTATTTGCATCACTTTGACTTGAGTTTAGTCCGCGCTGTATGGGTCAGAAATCGAAGCGGCCGTGACAAAATGTCACTGCTACTTGAGTGGGACTGGAGACTGGAGCAGGCCGTGACTGTGACAGACGAATAGCAGTGACAAAGTCACAGTTCGTGAAATCGCAACTCACCTCTAGTAATGGGTAACCTGATGACGAGTCTGGGGTGCCTTATGGAGATTTGCATTATGTTCAGGCATCTCAGATGACGTCATAAAGTTATCAGGCAACCTACCTCTCTCAATCAATCAATCAACCAAGTTACCCAAGAATCTGTGGAATGGACATTGCTGAGCAAAAGAAAGACGGGCAAACATAACAAACAACAGAAAATTGAGAAAACCATATTCAGAACTCAGTACCTACAGACTTCTACACAAGACAAAAAAAAATGGGGCATTCATGCCGCGAATGGAACAATTTACACATGGCAATAAGCCAATAAGACAAAAACCAAAGAACAAAGAACTAGAAGACCCCCAATAGGTAGGTACTTTGTACTTTAATTGAGACTTTAACCTTCAAAAGCATCCCCGAATCCTGATTTACCAGACAGGAGTCAGGACTCACAATACAAAAACATTTTAATTTTTAATTAGTTATTCATTCATTATTCAACTAACGTCTATATAACTGCAACACTAGAGTTCAAGGTCAGGCAAGGATAATACACACTACTACTACTACAGGATAGCCTATACTCATAAGGCCTGTGCAGAACAAATCTGAAGCCCCCACCACGCTAAATCAGTGTGACGGACAAGCATGTCGATTCTTGCCTTGACGCTTGGCGTAGGCGTTTGCATCTTCCTATTTGCCTATTATGTTAAGGCTGTTCATTTGTACTTCATTTGTACTGCTCCAAAAATCAGAAAGATCTGCTAGGAGCTGCTATTTATGAGCTTATTATATGGGAGTTATGGGACAAGTGAACGCCGATCAGCTGCTGAGATCTGCTTGAAATTAAGGCTTGAAGCAAGAAGTACAAATGAATAGCCTAAGTCTGTCTGTTAATCAAAATTGAATAATATTTTTCATCATAAATTTGAATTCTACTAAACTACGACGGCTGGCGCAACCGCAAACAGCTGATGTCGCCGTAAGTTATGACGTCGGGAATGGTGATACACCAATTTATTCGTTGAGTTAGGTACTCGGAGCTAGGGTTGCCAGATTTTCAAAATTGGAAAGCGGAAGGTAGCGTATGAGAGGGAAGAATAATTTTTCTGTGATGTCACGCATAATTTTGCCAGTTTTCATCATACATACCACAAGACAAGAGGAAAGTTTTGTGGACAAAATTTTCGACAGGTAGGTAGATACGGTAGATACCTACCAAGCTTGTTTGAAAGACGTAGGTTGCCTGATAACTTTTATGCCTTCGTCTGGGGTGCCTCAACAATGCAAATCTCCATAAGGCACCCCAAAACTGTTTTAAAAGAATCTTTGAAATTTTTCCCTTAAAAAAAGTGCCCTTGTAGTGAGGGAGACGACCGCATTTTTCCTACCCCGATCGAGTTATGTCTCGACACTATTATCAATATATACCGTGCGTTCGTTATTTTGGTCTGAGTTCTCCGAGCTTGACTTTACCGTTCGTTTATTTAAAAAGTGTACTCGGTGTATCCTCATTCGCGTTCGTTTATTAAAATTTCTGGCACTTTTATACAGCGTTCAACTGCTCTGTTCGCTCGCTCGGTAACACTACCCTCATCGAGTTATGCCACTTATGCCCTAAGTAGGGTATCAAATTGAAGGTCTCCATGTCCCCTATCTAAAAAGTCGATCCTGCCTCGTGAGAACTTGCCGGAAAAGGGCGACAGGGCAGCTTATTGGGGCAAGGGCCCGCGGTCTCAGCTTTGACACCTATCAAGTTTTGCGCTGAATGATGTGTCAAATTAAAGGTGTCAATAAGTTGATTTAAGGTCTCTTCGTACAGAAATCCCAAACCAGAAGGAGTGAATTTAGGCCGAGTTGTAGTTTAGTGCAAAGCTTGATAGGTGTCAAAGCAGAGACCGCGGGCCCTTGCCCCAAAAAGCTGTCCTGCCACCCTTTTCCGGCCAGTTCTCACGAGGCAGGATCGAATTTTTAGATAGGGGACATCGAGACCTTCAATCTGATTCCCTACTTAGGGCATAACTCGATGGGGGTAGTGTTAGGTTTTTTTCAATTTGTTAATAGACATTTCCGGCAGCATTTGCTCTCAGGCAGGAATACAGGTTAATAGATGCACATATAATACTATATATTGATAATAGTCTCGACACATAACTCGATCGGGATAGGAAAAATGCGGTCGTCTCCCAGACTATTGGATGTGTTGTTTTTTGTTTGGAATGTATGTATGGTGGTGGGGTGTAAGGTGCATCAGTAACGTTGGTATCTATTTTTAATTATTTTTAACGGTTAACTAACGGTATTGGGATACTCGAGGATCAAGAACACTTAATATATTCTGTGAGAACAGACCGAGAATCACCTTTTCTTTTCTACATTTAAAATCGACGAAAAAATTAACTCATTCGCACAGCCTGAATCGCAAGCATTCCATCGAGGTCTGCGGGTGACGTCATTACTCAAAGCTGCTGATAGTGACGTCGCTCGCAGGCCCAGAATTTGATGGAGAGGGAGTTAGGGGACACAGCATCTTGTCAAATCTAGGCTTTCGTAAGTATTCGGTGCATTCGCTATATGGTTTCTTTGGTTGCAAAACGTTTGATAAAATTAACAGAAAGTGATTGTGATAGGTGCTGTGTTACCTAAAACTCCAGTAGAGGCAAATGTGGTCGTTAATTTAATGGAACTCGTTCGACTATCACTTTTACAATCACCAAACACACATCGCTTCATCGCCTCTCGATAAAACATATCACGTTCTCCCAAAACTGCCATAATTATTAAACTTAAGCCCAAAATTGAAAAAAAAATTAATAAGATTGACAATGCTTTTTATAGGTTATGTGACTTTGTTTGTCGACTTTCTGCCAAAGTCATTCATATAATCCTTGCGTTCGGTATTTTGCTCGAAGAGCAGAGCGTGCAGAGCGGAGCCGTAACCACGTGACCAGCGAGCGAACAGAGCAGATGAACGCTGTATAAAAGTGCCAGAAATTTTAATAAACGAACGCGAATGAGGATACACCGAGTACACTTTTTGAATAAACGAACGGTAAAGTCAAGCTCGGAGAACTCAGACCAAAATAACGAACGCACGGAATGAAATCTTCTATTCAACAGCGTTCATATTTTATTGTATTGAACTTAGAGCAGGTAAAGGTAAAGAGGAGTAGTAACCTGGATTTGGAAAATAAAGCCATTTTTTTTCAGGTATTTTGGCACCAAGAAAATGGCGCTTATGGCAATTCAATGCTTTACCTGTATCTTGGTGCCAAACACCTGCCAAAAATTTCGTTGGCGTTCCTACTCCTTATGTCCGTAGGACAGCGCTTTCCTGCTCTAAGGTATTGAATGACTTCCGATGGTTTAAAAACCGACGAACGTTTTTGACGTCATAGAAGATTTCATTATGAATGACTTTGGCAGAAAGTCGACAAACAAAGTCACATAACCTATAAATAGCATTGTCAGTTATTAATTTTTTTTCAATTTTGGGCTTAAATTTAATAATTATGGCAGTTTTGGGAGAACGTGATATGTTTTATCGAGAGGCGATGAAGCGATGTGTGTTTGGTGATTGTAAAAGTGATAGTCTAACGAGTTCCATTAAATTAACGACCCCATTTGCCTCCACTGGAGTTTAAGGTAACACAGCATCTTGTCAAATCTACGATTTCGTAAGTATTCGGTGCATTCGCTATGGCTTCTTTGGTTGCAAAACGTTTGATAAAATTAACAGAAAGTCAGAAAGTGATGTGATAGGTGCCGTGTTACCTAAAACTCCAGGGGCGAGTTCAGAAATGACACACCCAGTGTGAGTGTGACACCGGTGCGACGCCCTAGCTGTTCAAAAATGCTAGACGGTGCTATGGGCCCAACGGCCAATTGTCAATTCAGGCACACCCATAAACTCGCACTCGCACCCGGTGCGTTATTTCTGAACTCGGCCTAGTAGAAGCAAATGGGGTTAGGTTATGTGACTTTGTTTGTCGACTTTCTGCCAAAGTCATTCATAATGAAATCTTCTATTGTTATTTGTTAAAAAAGGAAGTCAAAATTACAAACCCTCGTGAAACAAACAGTGCCTGATAACTTCATGAAGCCATTCAGAGGGTGCCTCAATATAATGCAAATCTCCATGAGGCGCTACAGATGCGTCATCAAGTTACCCATTACCAGACAACCTACAGGCCGTCGATTTTAATCTGATACTCCAAAGGAATGTGAGCTAGTGGCCCCTCAAGAATAATACGCACTACTACTACAGCATCACTATAAGCTGCTGATAGTGACGTCACTCGCAGGACCAGAATTGGATGGAGAGAGAGTAGTATGACACAATGAACACATAACATCTGAGCATGATCAGATTATGTTTGATTATCCTCGCGAAAAATTACCTATTAAAAACGACGGACATTATTGGGTTCAGTTGATCCTCCGCGAGCTAAAAAATGACACTGTTGACAGAAGCTCACGTGAAGGTGATCTTTAGTTTTTGCGCAATCATAACTCTTAGTACAAACACTGGCAAACACGCTACGTCAAGGCGAGAAACGACACGTTACCCACGTCATCACCGGTATTTTGGCGTGGTGGGGGGCTTGAGACTTTTTCTGAAGATTGAAAGAATAGAAAATTCTGAAACAAGAAAAAAAAAAAAATGTTTCATTTGACTGACTCCCAGTAAAAACCTTCACTATTTCAAAAAAACAGTCAAGAAACAAACCGCATCAAAAATAAATTTTTCTATTAGATATTTGTAAAAAACTATATCGGTATGAACATGAACCGGTAATTAAAACCGAAATTATTGGTCCGAACCGAATCGAAACAGTGACGCTTTAACCTTTCTCTGGCCCGTAGGTCAATTATTTGGTATGGCCTTTCATGAGTGATTGTTCTTTTTTATGGGGTTAAATAAAATCATTCAGACGATTTCAAACTACTAACCAGGATGTGCCGTAGACTATGAAATCTACTTTACGCGGTTTGTCTACTCGTTGTCTAGGTATTGTTTACATCCACTTTTTCCATGTAGACTATGTAAACTATGTAGACAATGTAGACAACAGAAAATTTGAAATTTGAGTAATTTTTTTGAAAGTTTGCATTGCATTAAATTTATATTGTATCAAATTAGACATCATCTGCAGTTTAATTAACTTTATAAGCAAAAAACAAAACAAAGCAAAAACAGAAACATAACCTTAAAGGCCAACCAACTGTCAAAAATTGTATACTTTACGCGTTGTCTACATATTTTACACGTTGTCTACATAGATTACATAGTTTACATTGTCTACGCGTTGTTTACACCAGACGTAGACAATCTTTGTTTACGCATAGATGCCCATCCCTGATGTAAACTATATAGACAATGTAGACAACAGAAAATTTGAAATTTGAGTAGTTTTTTTGAAAGTTTGCATTGCATTAAATTTATATTGTATCAAATTAGACATTATCTGCAGTTTAATTAACTTTATAAAGCAAAAAACAAAACAAAGCAAAAACAGAAACATAACCTTGAAGGCCTGCCAACTGTCAAAAATTGTATACTTTACGCGTTGTCTACATATTTTACACGTTGTCTACATAGATTACATAGTTTACATTGTCTACGCGTTGTTTACACGAGACGTAGACAATCTTTGTTTACGCGTAGATGCCCATCTCTGCTACTAACCAGAATATGAAGACAAAAAATTGGCAACATTTTTTGTGGTATTCGGTAAAATCAAAGAAAGGTACTACCAAATGATGCCAATGATGGTACAAGAATGGTCACAAAACATGCTATATGGTAGGAATGTCCTAAAAGAAAATGATGGCATTGAGTTCCCAGCCTAATACCAATCACCACATATGGATGGTGGAGACTAAAAGTGTACTGATGGGTGCTTCGGAAGAACAGCTGCATAGCTTGGGATCAAATCCATTAGCGAAGAAGAGATGCATAAAGGGTTGCATTGCAACTCTGGGAAAAATTCGTACCACGTTGACTGTGCATGTCCTACAAGCTCAACAACAGTAAGGCACGACTTCGTGGTACACTGGACCCTTAAGACACTGCTCAAGTCCCTAGGTGCTCCAGAAGAAGCTCAAAGAAACTAACAATTTGGCAAAGCAGCGCAAACACTAACAGGTTCCTGCTGTAGTCGTTGCCACGTGCCCGTGCTGCGCTATGACGCAACGATAAGTCAGCGCAGCTCGGTGACTTGAGGGTGTGTTATGGATTGATGCTCAATGGAGCGAGCGGAGCGATGCCAGAGTATCGTGACGTCCGGCAGTTCACTCTGGCGAAATCAAATGTGCTTGTGCAGTGTGAATTATAAGAATTAAAGAGTATGGAAAAATATGCTAGTCCTGCTACTAAACAAATCGATGTTTTTGATATAGTGGGCTTTTATATTTTATATTAGGTCTGATTCTGCAGAAATCACAAAAAATTAAAGGCCAGCAGTTGGCCTTCCATCCTCTAGTGGCCCGTAGGACATGACCTAATTGTCCTAACGGATAAAGTGTCCCTGAATCGAAATATTTCTCTTAGAACCGGAACGGAACTGATATTTGTCATGACGCTCTGGACCGAAACCGATATTTTATTTCGATCCGAGTCCCTGTCAAAAAGCGATACGAAACAGATTCAAATGATCGGCTCAAAGCGGAGCGTCGACTTGAGCTATAGAACGCTCTTAAATCTTGCACGGAGCTCTCTTTTTTGTTCCGTCAAATTCGATAGATCAAAGAGTTTGACCAAAACAAAGTGCATTCGGCTATTGATTTCAAATGGTGTGGCCTCGTTTGGATTATAATCGCTCTCGGAGCACTCCTGCAGAGATCTGTGACGTCATCGTCCAGACGGGGAGCGCTCTGGGAGTAGTAAAGCCGAAAATGCTATTAATTTGAATTTCCTTCCCCATTCCCCAGGGGAGCATCTCTAATCTGAGCTACTCCGAGAGCGTTCCAATGAAATTGGTTTCAGTCAGTGCTATTTCGTGGCAGAGCAGTGCAAACGCTTGCACACTATGCACACTCTAGAGAAAACTGTTCCAATAACTTTGGCACAAAAAAGTATTTCAGGCAGAGTTTGCCAGCTCAGAGGATCCGACAAAACGCAGGTTACGGTAACAGAGCACCTATATCCACCAATGAACCTTTAGACCAAAACAAGCTTGCACTATTTGTTCGAACAGTTTCGGAGTCAAAAGGTTCAAATCATTAATGGCACCATTTGTATTGGTAACAGGGACTGTTTTATCATGAGAATATTATTACAACGTTGATCCCTGCTCTGATAGAAAATAGGAGAACAGATCTGCTTGGAGCTGCTCTAGCAGATACAAATGAAAAACTTCTTCCAACATATGGCAAAACGTCAAATTGTCAAAACTACTCAAAAAGAAAAGTCAACACTTGCTGTTGAAACCTCGGTGTATGCAGCTGCTCGATCTCCACGTTCCCGGAAATCTCGGTGAAAATTGGTGAAAATTGCCCTTCAAGAGGATTGGTGAGTTCTACTAACATTACCATTCACACTTTTCATCCCATTTTTCATCTAATCACTTCAATTCATTTTAACAAAAGCATTTATTAATTTTCCTTAAACAATGAGTGTCATAGGGGGGGACGACCCCCCGCCGTTAGATCCTGATATAGAGGAAACACATATTAATAGTAATAATTCCACTTTTGTACATACCATTGACCAAGGTCAACTAAATATAAACAATTTAAACAATAAAAATTCCAATGTAGATCGTCCAAGATATGAAAGGGCTTACAATAATAATGATCAGACTTTTTTACTTACAGTCGAATCTAATAAACAAAACATAGGAAATTTTTCACAAATTAAGATAGCAAAAGAAATTTTTGACTTAAAGCTGAAGGATATTAAAAAAATCAAAGCGCTAGGCAGAAACAAAATAGGTGTCGAATTTCTAAGCCATGAGGCAGCCAATGAATTTTTACATAATGAATTAATAAAACAAAAAGGCCTTAGGGTCTCAATTCCATTTAACTATACCTCCTGTAAAGGGGTTGTTAGGTCTGTAGATACCGAACTTGATGTTGAAACTTTAAAAAATGATATCAGAGTAAATTCCGCTTTTAAAAATTACAAAATAAAAAACGTGACCAGACTAAATAGGCGAGTGAATAAAAAATCCCCAATTAACAATTCATCTTCTGTACAAGATAATTCAAAAAACTTTGATTACGTACCCACGTACTCAATATTGGTTACTTTTGATGGCACAATACTACCAAGGTATATTGATTTGTACGGATTAGAGTTGCCAGTTTCTCCCTACATTCCTAGGGTAACACAATGTTACAATTGTTTTTTGTACGGTCATACGAGAACCTTATGCAGAGGAAAACAAAGGTGTTTTCAATGCGCAGAACCTATTACTTCAGAAAATATTCCCCACACAAACTGTGATGAAAAATGCCATCACTGCAAATCCGATTCCCATCGATCTAATTCAAAACAATGTCCCGAATTCCAAAGACAAGAACAAATTAAAAAAACAATGGTTTTCGAAAACATTTCCTACTATGAGGCTGCCTTACTAATTCCAAAAAATAACCAAACCACCAACTTTAATCTAGACCCTAGAGATTTCCCTAAACCGTTCGAAAATAGAAATAAGAACGAAAATTCAATCCCTATTAACCAACGAAGGTTTGCTGCCCAAAACAGCAACCAATCCTCAAAAAGATCTTACCAACACGCACTAGTAAACCCTACCAAAAAAAGAATTTTAGAAAAACCAGGGTACGACCATAGGCTCCACAACGAACAGTTATTTTTTCCGAACTCCAGGTCACAATTAAATCCCCAAGGAACATTCACAAATCTCCAAAGTATCCCTTCAAATTTCAAAAGACCCTCTTCAAACCTACAAGGAACTTCTTCAAACTTCCAAGGAAATTCTTCTCAATTCGACCCCTCAATCCCATCAACCTCTAGCAACACAAAATTCAACCGTCCAACAACCTCATCACAAAAAAAGCCAGAAAGTGCACTTAAATCCATAGACAAACTAAATAAAGATGAAACTTTTGATTTTATCATTAACCTAAATAAAAGTACCCAGATAGAATTGTATAGTATCCTTCAGCATATAATGGAAAGTAATCCAAATATGGATTACGAAGATTCAGATTTTTAACCATACAAGTCATTTAAAAAAAAAAAATAAATAAAAATAAACCATGTTGACCTACACCCATAAGCTAACAATCCTGCAATGGAATGCCAGAAGTATAACTCACAATAGGGACAACCTAATCAGCTGTTTATGGAAACACGACCCAGACATAATACTCCTAAATGAGACCTGGCTAAAACCAGAAACCCCTTTTCATATTAAAAATTATAATATTCTAAGAAACGACCGCTATGACGGTTATGGGGGAGTAGCGATATGTATAAAAAATAATTATATCTACACTGAGATTAAAATACAAAATGACAGTCTGGAACTCTTAATAATTAAAATTAATAACTTGAACATAATGACATGCTATACAGCTCATCAAATCCCTAACTTGAAAAATATACTTGAAGACATAACCTCCCAATTAGAAGGAGAAACCCTTATCATGGCAGATTTTAATGCTCACCACCCAGATTGGGGTAGCACAAGGATCAATATCAATGGCAAACAAATCGTAGAATTTTTATCGGAATATTACTGGTCTGTTTTGAACGACGGATCATCAACAAGAATCAGAGCACCCGACGAGGGACCAAGTCCTGTGGACCTCTCCATTGCAACCTTGCAAACAGCACTACGTTGCACATGGTCAGTCACACAGGAACCTGGTTACAGTGACCATTTACCCACAATCATCAGATTCAACCAATATTCCAGACTCTCAAAATCGGATTTTAAAATCACATATCTACCCAAAAGACAGTTCACAAAAGCAAAATGGGTTCCATATTATTTAGATATTTATAAAACAACAAAAAATACAGACCAAAACCTTAACTTCAATACATTGAATGACATAATGCAAAAGGCAGCAGACCAACATATTCCCAGAACGCCGGAAAATACTAGAAACAGAACAGGAAACCCCTGGTGGGATCAAGAATGCAGCCTCAAAATAGAAGAAAGAAAAATGGCTCTAAATCAATACAATAGCCAGCCCTCCATGGAAAATTATCTTAACCTGAAACATACCATTGCAAAGGGTAGAAGATTTTTTAAAAGAAAAAAAAAAGAAAAATTTTTAAATTACGCTGCGACCCTAAACAGAAACTCTGACGTCAGGGAGATCTGGAACAAAATCAGAAAATTCGCCGGAATATATTCAACGAAAAAAGTCAAAACGCCAAACAACACCCTAAGAACGCAAATCCTAAATAACATGGAAATCACAGACATAGTCCCAGAATTCGACATCAAAAGAACTACAAAAATACAGAAATTTAATATACATGAACTTAATGCAGCCATAAGGAATAAAAAAGATTCGGCCCCTGGAATTGATGAAGTCTCTTACTCCATGATAAAAAATCTTCCCATCAACGCAAAGGAAGCCCTTCTAAACATTTACAACAGCATTCTGGGTGGAAAAGACCTCCCAGCTGCCTGGAAAGAATACCTAGTATTGCCAATAAACAAACCTGGAAAAAACCCGGACCTTGTAGAAGGCTACAGACCTATAATCTTGGCTTCCTGCTATCTCAAAGTTATGGAAATAATGTTAAAAAATAGAATTGACTGGCAGATGGAAAATAAAAAAGCATTTTCTCCGTTCCAAACTGGATTTAGGAAAAAATCCAGCGTACACAACAGCCTGGCATATCTCATCACTTACATCAATCTAGCTTTTGCACAAAATGAGGCGGTCGTGGCCATATTCCTGGACATCAAATCAGCATTTGACGCAGTTAACGTTCATAAACTTTACAAAAAACTTATATCTTACAATATTCCCCTAGAAACCTGCAACACCATATTCAAAATATTAAATAATAGACACCTCTACATCAGAAGCATCCAAAACGACATAATTGGACCAGTACATGCATCCAAAGGACTCCCTCAAGGCTCACCACTTAGCACAATTCTATTCAACATATACATGAAGGACATCTTTGAAGTATTGGACAGGGAAATAATCACTATGGCATATGCAGATGACATCGCCATTTTTACAAAAGGAAAAAATATTCCCATTCTCATAAACAAGATGAATGCAGCTCTAGAAAAAATAAATATTTGGCTCACAAATAATGAACTTACATTATCCCCAACAAAGTGCGAGCCAATGCTCTTTACCAAAGGCAAAAGGAACGGGGTTTTCCCTCCAATAACTATTCAACATCAACACTTAGCTTTTTCAGATTCCATTAAATACTTGGGTATGATAATAGATAGTCAACTTAACTGGAATAAACACATCGAATATGTCACTCAAAAAGCCGGGAAAGGCATCAATATTTTGAAAACCTTTGGCAAAGTGTGGTGGGGGGCAGACCCCCAGACTCTGCTAAACATACACTCCGCAATTGTTATGTCCCATTTAGAATACGGGGCATTTCTCCTCAACCTGAACAAAAAAAACTTTAACAAAATCAAAACCGTTCAATACAACTCACTGAGAATAGTCCTTGGATGCACCAAATCTACTCCAACAAACGCACTCTTAGCAGAATCCAATCAAATGGAGTTCAATTTCAGGCAGTTGTGGTTGGGAATTAAGTTTTTCACCAAATCAGTTAACATTCATCAACACCCCATCATCCCATTGATCAAAGCTATCAAAATCCATTACATGAATAATGCAAATTACTGGAGAAGAAAGGACATACCCTACCTGGTCCAAGCTTTTAACTACTTTTTCCCTTACAGGAACAAAATAGAAAAAATTGATATTTGGCCATGCTACAATATAAAATACGAAACCCAAATAAGGAATATCCGCACCATCAACGTCAATATTGGGAAAAGGGATCTTTCTGCAAAAACTAAATTCATGGCCAACACAGAAAAGTTTAGAAAAGATTATATTTTCATATATACTGACGGATCAAAAAAGGATCATGAAGCTGGTTTTGGAATACACTGTCCCTCCTTAAAACATAACTTCAGCTGCAGACTGCCAGATGGGTTCGACATCTGCTCAGCTGAAATAGTAGCCATACAAGAAGCCATCATATTCACAGCCAAAAGAAACATCAAAAAAGCAATCATATTCACAGACTCTAAAAGCGCAATAGACATCCTCAATCAAAACTTCATGAATCCGGATATGAGTAGCCTGGCCCTCAGAGCCAAAGCGTTATTGATTGCAACATATGAAACAGGCTATGACATTAAACTGGCATGGATTCCCAGTCACGCGGGAATCCCTGGCAATGAAACAGTTGACAAGTTGGCTTATATTGGAAGAAAACTTCAGGTTCCAAAAAACCTTCCACTAAACAAAAATAACATCTTGGCCTCCATCAAAGGAAAAATTTTGAAGGAGCACGAGTTGGCTTGGAAAAGCACCCTCAAACAAAAAGGCAAGTGGTACGCCCTTGTACAGGACAGCTTTCCTAGGTCAACATGGTTTAAAAAATTCCCTTACATAGATCGACGACACATTACTGTAATAACTAGAATGAGAACCGGACACTTCCTTTCCAACCAATACCTGCACAGAATAGGCAAAAAAGACTCCCCAAATTGCGAATGCGGCCAGATCGAAGATTTAAATCACATTTTCTTTGAATGCCCAATTAATAAAATAGTAAACGTGGACATGTATTGGCAAATCATGGAGTTCGGACATCCGGCACCTCTTTCAATGATTACTGCACTAAGAAATTTAAACACTAACACAATTAAAAGTCTGGTCTCCTTTCTCAATTACAATAAAATGAACTTGTAAGCACTTCCAAAAATTTTGAACGATCCAAAAACATTGAAACAGCAACACACTCATCCACAATCACTCAATATCATGAACAAAAGAATATTCTTAAAAAAAAAAAAAAAAAAAAAAAAAATAAAAAAAAAAAAAAAAAAAAAAATAAAAAAAAAATAAAAAATGAAAAATATCCCAAAAAAATTTCCTTTTTAGAAAAAAAAAAAAAAAAAAAAAAAAAAACATCCTCCCCACCTGTGTTGTGTCATCCTTTTATGTGTTTACAACCTCAACTCACAGGAGGAAAGAAAATAAATTCCATAAACCAGATAAAGATAACAGCAGTAAAATCTCGAAGACCTTGAAAGTACAGCGTCCGGAGCATGGCTTAGAGCCAGACAGCTCTCTGGATACCAACAAATGTGCTGGCAAATTGCCCCTTGTGGAGCAGAGCCAATATTCAGTTAAGAAGAAGAGAAGAAGAAGAAAAGTCAACAAAAATATCAACAAAACACAGACAGCAAGATTTGATTTAAAATAATTGCTTTTAAATATTTGGATGATGATAAAACTTAATGATTACTTCGCAATAAAAAATTATCAGTTACCATACCCTCATTAGTCAGTCTAAGTTCAGTGTTGTTTTAAGCGAGTGTTGTGTTGATAAAAATAATTGAAAAATTTTGCTTACAATACAAAATTATCTGGCACCTTTACGATTTTTAGTTTATTATTAGTTTGGTGATGTTTTGGTTTTGAAATCATTTGGCAACAAATATGACATTTACCTTGCCACCTCTGTAAAGTAAAATTTTATTTTTGTATACTAACGTAGTGCAGCTTCAGCCCAAAATCAAAAATGCAGCGCTGGTTTTTCTTAGAAGACCCCGACAACACGAACGCAAGAGAAGCCAAAGGCGACACCTTAAGTTTTGCAGATACGGTAGCCAGCATTCAATATGCCCCCAGGTGTTGGTTGTTTCGAGTTGAAGCGCCCCCGTTAAAACAAGACGAAGTTTTATGCGTGATAGGAGACCTGAAAGAGCTGGGCTCGTGGTGCCCTGAAAAATGCGTGCCATTGCAACAAGAAGCAGATTCAAAAATTTGGTCAAAAGTCATCGAAATCCCAGACAAAAGGAAAGTGGAGTATAGATATTGTGTGTGTGTTATTATTGAGAGTGGTATTCAAGTTATAGTTAGAAGCTGGGAAACTAACTTGAAAACACGGGTAATAGAATATTCTGAAGCTTCTCCAACAACAGAGGGTGAAGTTCAAGTATATGGGTTTTATGATAATGCAGAGCATTGCGATAGAGGTTGGCTTAATAAAGAAACTGTAGTTCAGTTGAAGCTTTGTAATAACCCACTCACCTTATGGAGGCCTAAATATGCCAACAGAAATGTTTTCATAAAGATTACTTTAGTCAACATACACAGCAGTCAACAGAATGTCTTGCCTTTATCCATGTCAGAAGCTTTGGACGAATCCTTGAGTGAGTCGCAAGATGGTGCAGAAAGTGTAAAGTTTTCATTTACAGAAGTTGCCGATTTAAACGCTGATGATCCAACTTTTAGGACACAGCCACAATTCGGTACTGAACTTAAAAAAGATGACATGCTGGTTTTCCAAAGCACAGTGCTTTTCTCTCAAAACACTGCATATTTGTTTGATTTTTATGTTTATTCGAATAGAGCTGAAGACAATGAGCCTCCTTACCATGCAGGGTTTAGTTATCTATTACCCACAGCTCTACAGTCTTCTGAAGGTAACATGATACTGCCTGTTACTAGCACAAAACATCGGCCCTTAGGAGAACTAAAAGTTGATTATCTAATTATAGGCTCAATGCCTCAATACAAATGCAACATGAGTATTTCTTATTCGCGTCACTGGAAAAAAACCCGTTCTGGTTTGGATGTAGGACATAGAGGCTCTGGATCAAGTTTTAAAAATAAAATACAAAATTGTGCTGAAGTAAGAGAAAATACTATAGCTTCGCTGAAAAATGCTATAGATCACGGGGCAGATTTTGTTGAGTTTGATGTTCAACTAAGTAAGGATTTGGTGCCAATAATTTACCACGATTTTCATGTGTGTATTTCTATGAAGAAGAAAAAGGACATTGCTGATCAGGATATGTTGGAGATACCATTGAAGGAGCTGACTTTGGAGCAACTTAGAATGTTGAAGGTAATTTTTGTGTTTGTTCTCATTTGGCCCAATGTTGTTTTATAAGCACAAATTTCATTAAAAAAAATTCTAGGTGTACCATTTGACAGAAGGCAAAACAAAAAATCCCAGATTCTTTGATGATGAACTAGAAGAACATCAACCGTTCCCAACCCTGCATCAAGCTTTGGAAATTTTAAATCCTCATGTGGGTTTTAATATTGAAATTAAATGGACCATGAAACTTGCCGATGGCTCTTATGAACTTTACCATCCAACCGATTTGAATTTGTACTTGGATACAATTTTAGAGGTTGTTATGAGGTGAGTTAATTATGTTATTTAATTATTTTGGCCACACAAATGTGTGTACAGTCATTGAAGCGCTATAGCCTTTAGGTGGTTTCTGTTTTAGATGAATTCAACTTGAATGCATCAATGAGGAGATATCAGAACGACTTTATTCTCTCTTCTCAGGTATGGTGGCGAACGAAGAATAATCTTTTCCTGTTTCAACCCAGACATCTGTCAGGTTATTAGATTGAAACAGAACAAGTATCCGGTTATGTTCTTAACTGTGGGAGAGAGTGAGATTTATCCGAGATATGCCGATCCTCGGTGTTGGTCCATTAAGGCTGCCACCCAGTATGCCACTATGATTGAGATTTTGGGCATTGTTGTGCATACTGAAGATTTGTTGAGAGATCCTGCATTGGTAAGTTTTTTTTTTTCATTATTCATGGGATAAATATGCACATAGGATAAATATTACAAAACTCCAATGTTTATTATTTGGGTTTATTAAAAGAATGTAAATAAGGTAAAATTTTAATTGTTTACAGATAAACTGAATTGGTAATTGTTAAAATATTGGCTAATAGTCTAGGAAAATAGTCGAAAAATACATGTATTGCAAAAAAAAAAATTCCTACCCAAATGAACTTTTCAGGGATGATAGGGGGCGGGTGGGTGATCATAAAACCGAAAATATCAAACATTCACCCCTCTGGCGTTTTGCGCTATAGGGGTTGAAAGTGCGCCATTGGCGATTACTTGGTACCTATTGATTTTACAAAAAAAAATTTCAAATAAAAGATGTGCAACATTATTTGATCTACAATGTTTATCTTAAGACTTTTTTGATTAAGAATGGTCTGTGGTCATAAGGGCCATTTGAAATTTTATAATGAAAATGAAAAATTTTAACCAATGTGAAAAATTTTTCTACAACTCACACACATACAACATTTTTGCTTTATGAAGTTTTTACTCACCCCCTGCCGTTTTTCAATAGGGGTAGTTTAAAGTTTATTTATTTTTTCACAAAAAAAATTTCCTTATAAAAGTTTTATAAGATTACATTTCCTACAATTTTCCCCAATAAACTTTTCGTGTAACTCATCCCCATTCAGCGGGGGGACACTTCCCTTAGGGAAATTTAAGTTTTTAGGGGTATATATTAATTTTTTTTCCTTTTCTCGCCTTTAGTGCATATAGAAAGGTGCAATTAACATTGTGTGAAAATAATTTTTTTTCCACCACCTGTTTGTTTTTAGAGGTAGTTCGCCTATTTTCAACTTTACAAAAAAAAGTTATGGAGGAAAGTTGCTCGAAATAATGAAATGAACAAGTTTTCTTTATAATTTTTTTTTGTGAAGTTGAAAATAGACGAACTACCCCTAAAAACAAAAAGGTGGTGAAATTTTTTTTATTTTAATACAATGTTAATTGCAATTTTTTATATGCACTAAAGGCGAGAAAAGAAAAAAAAAATATATATACCCCTTAAAACTAAAATTTTCCCGAGGGAAGTGTCCCCCCGCTGAATGGGGTGAGTTACAAAAAAAGTTGATTAGGAAAAAGTGTAGGAAATGTCATCTTATAAAACTTTTATTGAGAAAATTTTTTTGTTAAAAAATATAAAAACTTTAAACTACTCCTATTGAAAAACGGCAGGGGGTGAGTAAAAACTTCATAAAGCAAAAATATTGTATGAGTTGTAGAAAATTTTTTCACGTTGGTTAAAATTTTTAATTTTCATTATAAAATTTCAAACGGCCCTTATGACCACAGAAGGCCCCTAATCAAAAAAGTCTTCAGATAAACATTGTAGATCAAATAATGTTGCACATCTTTTATTTGAAACATTTTTTTGTAAATCAATAGGTACCAAGTAATCGCCAATGGCGCACTTTCAACCCCTATAGCGCCAAACGCCAGAGGGGTGAATGTTTGATATTTTCGCTTTTATGATCACCCACCCTCCCCCTATCATCCCTGAAAAGTTCTTTTGGGTAGGATTTTTTTTTTGAAAATCGACAATTTTCCTAGACTATAAGAATTTAATCAAAATTTATTTGTTTTGGTGCAATAATATTTACTGTTACTGCTTAGTGAACTGCACGTGATTATCATGTGGTGCAAGAAATATTTATTCGTTAATAATGCTATCATGAAATATTTGCTTTCTGGCTGTCTAAGCAATTTTGTATTGTATTTGATATATTTATTTACATTATGTATTTATATTTATTTATCAACGGACTTGCTATTAAACGTTTACAATATATCAAGTTATATTTAATGCACTAAAATTACAAAAAATAGAACAGAATAATTAATAGATTCACCCAGCCTTTCCAGTAATTGATTCAATTTAAGAATGAACAGTTATAAATCTTTTGAAACAAGGAAGATCAGTACCGAAAAGATCAGCATTACCACACTTTGAATTTGCCAGCCTACATATTCTGGACATAGGACTATTTAATCCATAAATATTTCTATGAAAATCTATTGCAAATAAGTCATGCCGACAGGTTAATCTTTGGGGTACTCTTATATTAATATTACTTAGCAATTCAGGGCTGTCAATCATGCCATTTACAATTTTGAACAAAGTAAGTATGTATATCAAATTGAGTCCTCCTAACTTTCAAAGGTGGTAAATTTAACTTTCCATACAAATGTTCATAATTAATATCTTCCATGGAAATTCCCAGTTTAAAATTTACAGTTCTCAAAAATCGCATCTGTACCTTTTCCAAAGAATCTATATAAACACAATAATATGGAGACCAGGCTGGACTAGCATACTCCAATACTGATCAGTGATCTTACAAAACTACAATACAGTGTTCTAAAGCACGTGTTTTATTTACAAAGCCTAACATTTTTATTGCCTTATTCCTTATATAATTTATATGATAATCAAACCATTGCTCCCTCTCAATATAAACTCCAAGGTCTTTTAGAATATCAATTCTTTCTAGTTACTCATCATAGATTTCATAATCAAATAGAATGTTCTGTTTTTTCTAGGTACGGTTGAGATCTTATACAGGGTGGTAATAAATAGTGGGATCAAACTTCTAGCATAAATAATACTCATTAAAATAAAATTAATAGAAACATAAACCAAACGTTTGCGGACCCATGTTTCTATTAACTTTTTTCCTATTTCAATGAATGAGTACTATTTATCCTAGAAATTTGATCCCACTATTCATTAACACTCTGTATGTCTGAATATTCAATTCCATACCATCCAGCTTACACCACAGGCACAAGCTATTAAAGTCTTTTTGCAACTCAGGACAAGCTTCAATGCTCCTTATAATCTTAAATAACTTTAAATCATCAGTGAAAAGAAGTTTACTACTGAATTTAATTTTAGAAACAAGATCATTTCTAAAAATGTCAAAAAGTATTCATGCCAAATGTGGTCCTTGGGGCACACCAGATAACCTATTAATATTGGATGATATCACATTCTTTGTCTTAACTGCCTGCATAAGGTTTGATAAATAACTCTTGAACCAAGCCCTATTTAGATGTTAGCACTACGAACGTTCTCCAATATTCCTACAGAAGTTTCATTAGGTGAATCATTTGTCGCTTTTTTGTTGCCTCTATTAGGATAAGAATCGTTGAAAAAAAGTTATGACCAAAGTTTTCAGAAATCTAAATCCTAAAGTTTGCCTGGCAAAGTGCTTTAGCATTCGGCTATTCTTATATGACCCAGTAGCTCGCCCAGTAGACTTAATCCACATTGGAATCACATTGTGCAGCTGATATCCAACAGCAAATCATAATTTAACCATTTCTCGCCGGCATTCGGTAGTGCCCCACTGCTACACTTACCTTAAATAATATAATCGTGCAACAAATGGGATCCTAACATATAATGGTGGACGGCTTCCACAGGGAACACCAATTACCAAAAATAAATAATCAAACCACGAATTGTTATTCTGGATGTCAGTGGATCGCAATTTCAATTGGTTAAAAATAATAATCATTTAAAGAGGAAGTTATTGATAACATTTACAGCCAAATGCTCAAAGCACAATACCAAACTTGCTCAACTAAAAGTAGCTTACTAAAGTTCTGATTTCTGTACATATTACCCCGAAAGAAAAAAAACAGAAGGTAAATTCCTTTGGAAAGTTTATAAGTGCATAAAAGGACTTTTCTAGGACCTGTGGCGCGACTGAAGGGCAAGATCAGAAGGCTATAAATAGTTGTTGGTACTTACGAAATTTGATAATTTGTACACTAATCAATTATTTAAACATTCGATCAAGAATGCTCATTAAACTCGAAATGCTTATATAATTATTATTTTCTTAATAGCTTATTCCTTCGTGGTAAATAGTCTACTGCCGAATGACGAATATTAAAATAGATAAGAAAAGAAAGGAACAAGCTTGTTTACATTACCCTGGTCCCTTTTTTTATTACTTCATAGTCATGCTTCATCAATTAGGTATAATGATAGATCTGTTCCTGCAGAAATCACAAACCAGTCACAAACACAGACTAGTTTTTCGACTGTTTCTGACTGTTTTCGACCAATGAAATTCGCTCTGACTGGCTTGCGATTTCTGCAGAAACAGACCTAATATTGAGATAAATAAATCCTAGCTGAAATGCGCGAAACATCAATTTCAGATTTTTTCGAAAATGTGTTGAAAACCTGGAATATTTCTGATTTTGAGATTGATCATTATTCAAGCGGCAAAAATTGCCAAAACCATTATCATTATTTTTTTTATGTAGGTACCAACTATGCATCAGATATTATGTACTGGTATTACTATGTAGATATTATGTACTAAAATCAAGTTACCTACTGACCATTCATAGAGTATCAAAAATCTCACGTTTGACCTTTGCAGCGCTAAAATTCCATTGGGAAATTGTAAATATGTAATCTTGTAATATGTCCAATAGCAGGCGGTAAAACCGACGAAGCTATTGCTGCGTTCAAAAATCTGTTTTTTTTTTATGCATATTGAAAACTGTTTATGCACTGTAGTGTATCATTCTAACTGCACTATTCTCGAGTTCTTTGTCTAGTCTATCTTAGAACGCATTGACATTTGGTGCTGACACTGTCCAGGGCGTTCCATGAATAACAACTCTGTTGCTCAGAAAGTTTCTTCTAGGCAGTTTTTTACTATTTGAGTTTTTTGAAGTGACCACAAAGATTGTTTTGGTTTTGTACAAAGATTTCTCAAATATTGCAATTATAGTAATTATTGGTTATTTTGTATGTTTCGATTAAGTCTCCTCTATGTCTTCTCTCCTTTAAAGTTGTTAGTTTAACAGCCAATTTCATAATCAACTTAAAGTAAACTTTAAATTTAAAGCTCCATTTGAAGTTGAAAAATCCTATCCTAAAAGTCTATTTAGCTAAAGTAACTTTTAATT